CTATGGTTACGCCCTTGACAGTGTTGTAGACAACAATGGCACTGTAAGGACGCTGCCATGCCATTGCGGGACATCAGATTGTCGCAATCGATTGTATTAATTAGTCTCCCCCTTTCTTTACCAATCAATTGTATTATTTATTCATGAAAGACCTTCCTTCCTTGTGTCCATTGGATATGTTATCATCTTAACAACTAATAACTTTTTCCCCTCAGCAGTCGAACTTATCACACTTGTGTTGTAAACGCTTAGTGTATGATTTTTTTTTAAATATATCTACTTTAATAACAATCTACTATAATCAATGAAGATCCATTTTGACACATATCAATCTCTCATGAGTTTCAACATTTATCATTTTGTAGTATTTTTGAAATAAATAATATCTACATGTTAATTTTAAGGTTTTTGTAAATTTTAAAATTAAAAAGTCACAATACATATAGCTATATAAGTAAAGTGTTAAATATAATAAATATTATCTTAAATTGCAATAAATATGTTTTTTCCTTTCTTATTTTAAAATTTAATTTTAAAAAATACTTAATGTTTACATTTTAATATATATATATTTTTAATTAATCCATGTAATACATGGATCTTATATCTAGTATATTTATATAAAAAGAATATATATGCTTGATCATGTCAAGTGTCCCCAAAATTAAATGTAATTATTTAATTATACAATACATTACATATGGGTTAATTCGGATGTGGTTCATTATATATATATATATATATATATATAATATATATATATATATATATATATATATAGGGAAATGATCAAATAAGAACACCTAAAAGGTTGAGAACGTGAAAATAAATATATTCATTTGTGATACTATGTATTCATTTGTGCAGAAATGATAAATTTTTACGCATAATCAACATTAATATGCTTTTTCTCTTTAATTGAAATTAAAGGCGTAACAAATTATAATTTCTCCACAAATGAATACATGGAATCACAAATGAATATACTTTGTTCTCTCGTTCTCAACCTTTTTGGCGTTCTCATTTGATCCTATTCCTATATATATATATATATATATATATATATATATATATATATATATATATATATATATATAATATATATATTATTATATTAATATATATATATATTTATATATATATATATCATTTTTCTTTGAACCTCATGCATTTGAAACCCCCATAAAAACTTGCAACACCTCATGCATTTGAAACCTCTTATTTTAATGAATACCACTCAAAAGTATCTTAATAATAATTAACAATTCAAAGGTTTTATAACTTATATAATATATTTAATAAACAACTAATGGATACTCTTGTAACACCGAAAATTTCAAACAAAATTTTCAATTTTTATAAAACATAATTCCATCGATATTCATAAAAACAACCATTTTAATTATCCAACAAAACAGTACAAAATCCCAAGATCATAATATCAAGCTCCGAATGTGTGTGTATACGGATCAAGCCGACGCCTTCTCGCGGTCGTCACTAGTACCTGAAACAAATAACATCAACACTGTAAGCACAAGGCTTAGTGAGTTCCCCAAAATACCACATATAACACATATTAGCCACTCTAGGCTATAACTCTGTGGGTCCGTGCACCCAAACTCTGTGAACCCTCAGGTTCTAGCTCTGATAAACATGCACCACATAAATCACATAGAAATCATGCAGTACAACACACAACATACATAGCATACAAATACTCTATCACATAACTCTGGTTACCTACTCAAGGTAAAGTATAGTGAGAAGACTCACCTCGCGTATCTCGGTATCTCACGAATCCTGGGAATCCCTCGTGCTCGATCCTCCGAGCTCTAATCCTCCTATAACATTATATGCTTCTAATTAACACTTTATATCTCTAAGGTTGACTATCAATAAGGAGTCAACACTGGTCAACTCTAGTCAACGGTCAACGGTCAACTCTGACCGGACTCGGCGAGTACCAAGGCGACTCGGCGAGTCTGGGCGTGTACACCAATTTCCCTGGAATCCTCCCTTGACACGTCGAGCATTCACTCAACTCGACGAGTTCCACCTGGCATGAGTTGTGGGGCCACCACGACTCAACTCGCCGAGTCTCAAAACAACTCGGCGAGTCCAGTTTGACTCAATCCACCGGTCCATTCTGACTCCCCCTTGACTCACTGAGTCCACCCTCCCCAACTCGGCGAGGCCACTCACTGTGTGGTCGGGCAACATTCATGCTACTCGCCGAGTCTGTTCTTCGGACTCGGCGAGTCCGTGCCATGCACTGACTCAATCTTGCTCTAAAGGTCAGATCCAGTCCATTAATCCATAGATCCAGTCCCTCCAAGCTCATTTAGCACGTAAAGTTACAATCTTGATGCACATACAACCTCTATATGACCATATATGATGTTTTTGACTCATTTACTACAACACAAGGTCATGGACTCCATTGTCATACATAAAGCTTGATGAGTGAGGCTCCCTGGATCTCTATGGGTCCAGATCCATAACCTCAACTCAAGGAGGGAACCAATGGGCACCAAATCATCCCATAAATGACCATCATAAGCCCTAAATTGCATAATGCTTCACCAAACAGAAAATAGTCCGAGATCATACCTCTAGAGTGATGATCTAAGCTCCAACTCCACGAAATAGCAACCTCCTTTGCTTCCTCTTGCCTAGAGTCTCCTTCTTCTTGCTAAATAACACACACAAGGTCAAGAAATGCTCCTTTCTCTTCACAAATCGCTCAAGAACACAAGGGTCTCTCACTGAGGGTTGGGTGAGCACAAATGACGGCCATAAGGCCCCCTTAAATAGGCCTCAAACCCGGAAATTTAGGGTTTCATTACACAGCGCAGACTCGCCGAGTCCATATCCTGGACTCGCCGAGTCCAGGCGCGCTCCACTGCCCAAATCCGCGTCCCTACTCGGCGAGTCTGAGTTCCAACTCGCCGAGTCCCCCTCACAATTCAACAAAATTAAATTTACAAGATACCTGGTAAAATCCGGATGTTACAACTCTACTATAAAAAGGTCAATCTTTTTTTAGTAGACACACAAATACAAATCACATACAAAATTCACAAAGAAAACATGTTTAAAGTTTTTTTTTTTTTTTTTTTTTTTTTTGTGTTGGTTTGAGGGCTTTGAACAATTTTTGGAGTCATGTTATGATGTTGAAGTTTTTAATTTGTAAGTTTGTTATATACTAATTTTTTTTTTTTTTTTTTTGTATTTTCTTGATTTAAGTATTCTTTTAAGAATATAATTGTATGTTGTGGTTGAAATTTTAATGTAATTGGATTAGATTCATGTTATCAATCATATATTATGGAAGGTGATGTATATAATATTTAATTGATTATTGTATACATGTTTTCATGTTGCTTCAAAACAATAATTAATTAAAAATTATGGATATGTCATATTATCCATATTATCCATGTAATTTTTTTTTTAAAAAACAAATTATCTATGTTATCACTTTATATTTTAGTATATGTTTAATATTTTAATTATAATAATAAGTGTTTTTTAAAAGTTTCTTTCACTTATTAATAATAACAAGTGGTTTTAAAATTAATAAGCAATAATTATAAATAATAAAATCAAATTACATGGATATGTTATATAATCCATGTAAGTTTCTTTTGAAATGCAAATTGTCTATCTTATCACTTTATTATTTGGTATATGTTTCATATTTTAATAATAATATTAAGTGTTTCTTAAAAGTCTTCTTTAATTTATTAATAATAATAAGTGGTTTAAAACAATGAATAACAATTTTAAATGATAATAACATCAAATTATAAATTACATTTAGCTATAAATAAATTGTATTTTAAATGAACATCATTATTAAAATTAGAAAATGATCGCATACATAAAAATATAATTAATCAATAATAATAAATGTTAACAATAATACTAAATAGATAATTATATTAAATTCTATTAATGAATAATGTAGGTTGATATCAATGAATATTATTGTCCTAAATAATAAAGATTATATATATATATATATATATATATATATATATATATATATATATATATATATATATATTAGGGCTGTGCAAAAAACCGCACAAACCGCACAAACCGCCCGCACCGCACCAAACCGCACCGTATAATGCGGTTTAGAATTTCGCGGTGCGGTTTACGGTTCATCATTTTATCAAACCGCACTATGCGGTGTGGTTTGCGGTTTGTATTTATAAAACTGCGGTTCAAACCGCACCGCACCGCATGTTATATATATACTTTTTTTTCTTTTTTTTGTTATAACTTCAAATCACGATTTAAAAATGATGTATATAAATATATTTCTTACAATAACAAAATATCTATAACGTAACATTAAATCACTATTAGATCAAGATCTCATGGTTTACAAGAATATATAAATTATAATGGCAATATAAAGCAATAACAATGATACTTACAAAACTATAGTAACATGAGTCACAATTTATTAAAAACGATTTAACTCGAAAATTGTATTTGTTTTTATAAAATGAAAGCAATCATTTTTTTAACCCGGTCAGGTTTTTAGTTTTTTGATAGATTTAATGTTAAACAACTCATCAAACCCCACAAACGGCAACTAAACCGCATAAACCGCCCGCATCAAACCGCACCGCATCATGCGGTTTGAACATCTGTGGTGCAGTTTGCGGTTTCTAAAATATTCAAACCGCATATGCGGTGCGGTTTGCGGTTTTGACTCGAAACCGCACCAAACCGCACCGCGCACACCCCTATATATATATATATATATATATATATATATATATATATATATATATATATATATTAGTGTAAAAATATTATCTCAAAGTTAATATCAATAACATAACCATTTTAAATATATATTTTTCAATATTTTAACAATATATTATAAATCTACGCTGCGCAACGCGCGAGAAGTTATATATATATATATATATATATATATATATATATATATATATATATATATATATATATACCATGGGGGCTGTCCGGTCTGGTCCTATTCTAGATACATCATTCATACGTATTTCTTACTTCATCCCATGTAATCGGTAGTGGTGTGTTTAATCATAATCATAATAATAACAAAAGTTTGAGGGGATTAAATAATGTTGATGTTAGTTGGATAACACACGAGACCACACAAACAAAGATCATTAATAATAAGGCGGTAAAAAAAGATGCTTTATTTCTGAGTACATGTATGTATGTCTTGTGATTGTGGTCCATCAACAAAATATTGTGGTTTTGTTAAAGCAAATACCATTGGAATTATGCTTTGCTATAAACGCGTTAGCCTGTTATTAATGTTAAAGATAGCGACCTTAAATTATATACAAGATGGATGTGGGCCAGGGTGGGTGGGGACATCCAACAATGGAAGTGGAAAGAAGGGTGCCTGCCCATTTGGAGATAAGGCTACCCACACTTTTTTTTTTCTTTGTAGTTTATATAATAAAACAATTTAAATTGAAAACAACGTATTAATTTTGTTAAAAAAAAAGAGAGAAGATAATCTTTAGGCGATGGGGGGTCCGGGTGGGTAGAGATTAGAGAAAGAAAGAAGAAAGTCATTAGCAGCAGGATTCCACTAACCTCTCTCTTCATTCAATTCGAACACAAGATCAATCCTTAATTATACCACCTCTTCCTTCCTTTCTCCTCTTCTTCTTTCTTTCTTTCTTTCTTTCTTTCTTTCTTTCTCACCCCACCTAACCTAACATAACATAACAACGATTGCTTTTGTTGTTTGTTGAAGATAAAATAAAATAAACACAGATTATTATTATTATTATTATTATTATTATTATTATTATTAAAAATAAAGATGCGATAGATATAGGAATGGGATTAAGGACCCTTCCCTTCTCCAAACTCCAAACGGACGGACCCCTCCTACCATAACCATTTTACTTATTTCTTACCAAAACGCCGTTACCCGGTAACCGTCTTTCCCGTTAAGTCACGTGCACTGCTTCATTTCATGGCGCTTGAGCGATTGACTCTCGCTCCCGTCGTTCTTGACACCGGCACCGGAAACGGCGGCGAAGACCTCAACAAAGCTCCCAGGCTGCCTCGCTGGACCAGGCAAGAACTTCTTGTGCTTATCCAAGGCAAGAGAGTCGCAGAGAACCGGGTTCGCAGGGGCAGAAGCGCCGTTCTCGCTTTCGGCTCCGCTCAGGTCGAGCCCAAGTGGTCCTCCGTCTCTTCTTACTGTAAGCGTCACGGGGTTAACCGGGGACCCGTTCAGTGCCGGAAAAGATGGAGCAATCTCGCCGGAGATTTCAAGAAAATCAAGGAATGGGAGTCCCAGATCAAAGACGAAGCAGAATCTTTTTGGCTCATGAGAAACGATTTGAGGAGAGAGAGGAAGTTGCCTGGATTTTTCGATAGAGAAGTCTATGATATACTGGATGGTGGAGGACCCTCTTCCGCGGAGGCGGAGGGAGACAAGTCGTTGGTTCTTTCCCTAGCGCCTTCGGCTGCTGAGACAGAGAACGAGGTTGTGTTTGATAGTGGGAGGACGGCGGCAGCGGTAGATGATGGATTGTTTTCTGATGAGGTCATAGGTAGTCCGGAGAAAGCTCCTACCCCAATTTCAGGTGATCCCGCCCTGTTTGTAAGATATTTTTGTTTGATAAGTGTGTGCGTGTGTGTGTGAAGTGACTGATTATGTGGATGTTTGAATTGTTAATTTGCAGCGACACAGTATGAGCCTTTCTCACAAGAGGTTCCGGAGCATGATCATCATCATCCAGTCCCAACAGTAGCAGCAGCAGCAGCAGGTATTTGAGCCAATTGGCATACGCATTACACAACCAACCACCTGGATTAACATGGATAATGCATTGCTTTTTTGATGCAAGATAAAAAAAGTTCCCCAATAAATCCTGATGAAGCTGCTGATGGAACGGCTCATCAAGGAAGCAGTAGGAAGAGGAAGCGTCCAGCCATAGATGTAGATGCAGATGAAGATGAAGATGAAGAGGAGGAGATGTCTTTACAGAAGCAACTGATCGAAGCCATGGAAAGAAATGGCAGATTGCTTAGCTCCCAACTAGAAATCCAAAACACCAACTCCCAGTTAGACAGGGACCAACGAAAAGATCATGCAAATACCCTATTTGCAGTGCTTAATAAGCTCGCCGATGCCATGGTCAGAATTGCAGATAAGTTATAGTCACACCCACACCCACACCCACACCCACTCCTATCCTATTTCTGTGCATATCAAAATCAAACCTTTTTTTCTACAGTCTGCCTGCCCTTGCCCTGGGAGATTATGTATTGTGGCAAGTCTCCAGATAAAATCACTCGCTCAAATATTTCTCCTCTTTCTTTCCATTGCTTATAGCAGCAGTATAGGTTTTGCTTTTGCATCAATGATGATATATAATACACCCATAATAAAACGAATAACTGATCCCTTTGGTTTCCATCAACATTTGCATATGTATCATGTATCATAAATAATATAAGACACCCGTTTCTGGTTGTTCTTAAAGGAAGAAGAAGAAAATGATTCAGTTTATATATTGGGAGTCGATCAAATGAGAATCCAAAAAGTTTAAAAACAATTTTTTAAATATTTTCATTAAAGACATTTTAGACAAATATAACATTTATATTGTATTAATCAAACATTTTCATTTTCTATTGTGGTCGTGTTACCGTCGAACCGTTGTCAGACCACCGTCAAATCATCGTCGGACTAACACCAAATTCAATGGTATTTTTCTGATCGTATTCGCAATTTAATAGAACAAACATTGTAACTCCCATTTATTTGATAATTCTTTTTAACACAAACCAATTCATATTTGCAGCCAAATATAGAAAATTTAATAAAAAAAAAGTTATATCTTAAAAATTCAATTTTCACTCTTTTAAATTGTATAATTTCTTTAAAAAAATGTATCATTTATAAGATATTTTCACTATTTAAATTACCATATGCATTAATTTATTAATACATAGTTTAGTATTCATGCTATATTCATTCATATTTCAACATAAAATTTATATAATATATACAACTTAATACAATCAATTTTTAGTTTAATACATAAAATTCACTACAAAATATAATTCATTACATGCTAATTCATAAATTCAAATAAGTCAAACTGAAACTCTACCAGTACCACCAACTATATGTGCCACTTTTTGTAACCATCATTCATTCCAAATTATATATGTATATAAAATCACGGATTAATAGCTTAAATATTATATTTACAATTTAAAAAATGAATTAATTTACTAATTAAAAGTTTAATGCAAAATAAATATAAAAGTAATATATTCTTACATATTTATTCAACACACAAAAAAATATTTACAAGAAAAAGTAATACAAACATTCATACATAAATCAATCATATTTTAACACAAATTTAATATAATAAATGCATTGTTTAATACATATACATCATATATTCCCAACCTTATTTCAACTTAACACTTACATTTATACTTCAAATCTATAAGCTAGTGTTTTTTCTTTTAATTTTTTTTCTTTAAAGTTTATCATAGTTTAAATTTTACATACTTTTTTAAAATTAGATAAAATCAAATGTGTGTATAATGCTTATTTCATCTTATATTTCACAAGCAAACAAAAAATTCATAAAATATTTACATACATTATTTTATTCACACTTTAGGTAAGAATTTTATACAAATATGTCTTCGAAAATTTAATAAATAAGCATAATATTTGTAATTGATATTATTTGTTGTAAAAGTTCACAATATATTTAAATATGATAAATCTTATAATTTTTATATATTTATAAATGTAAATAACATGACTAGTTTTACTTTATCTTTCGTAAATCAATATTAGGTTAAGAAGATTAGTATAATACAAAGTTTCCAAATTATAATATAAAACGATGATTTTATTTATTATATTATGTAAATTTGAAAAAAAAAAACAAGAAGGGTAATTTTTGTTTAATTGAACAATTAGGTGTGAGATCCATGTATTACATGGGTTTAATTAAAAAAAAATAAATATAAAATTTTAATAATTTGAAAAGTTTGAATTTATAAGAAAAATAAGAAAAGTTTGAATTATTAAAATTAATGAGACTTTAATATATTAAATACATTACATATATAAACTTTTTCTAATAAATACTTTACATATATATTACCTTACACATTAAACGTGAAATTTTAATTTAATAAAATAAAAAATACAATAAAATGACAAGTGGAAAATAAAAATTTTAAAATTTCTAGAAATTGCCATGTATCCAAATAAATAAGAATAGAACATGTGGCAAAAAGACCTTCATTTATTATAGTAGATAAGCTGCCAATTTCTTTTGTATTAACGATAATTATTTATTATTATTATTATTATGATGGCTGCAATTAAGGTTGCACGTGTCTACTTTTTCGGCTATTAAGGGTTGTCTATTTATGCTTCAATAAATAAAGAGATATAATATAATATTAATAGTATTGTTTTCAGTTTGTTTGTATACCTAGAAAACCTAGAGAAAAAAATTATGTACGTTTGAAAAAAATTGAAGTTCTTTTATTATTTATGATTTACCCTACTCATAATAATATGATTATTACAAATTTTAAAGAATAATGATAAATATGTAATTAGTTTTAGAATTACCTAGGTGTATAACTCAATATTACTATAATTTAAACAAATACGGTGGGTGGGTTTATGTTGGATCAACATTCAAAATTTAACAACAGACTTCATCCTCGAAGTTTAAAATAAGTGGAAGAGATTTATAACATCCGGTTCCTAGTATGTATTTTAAATCAATTTATTCATTTTTTTTGTATAGGAACTCGACGAGTTGGAGGCCCCAACTCATCGAGTAGGAACATAATTTGGACGCGGAACCTAAAGTTTACTTGATGAGTTGAGGGACTTAACTCGACGAGTAGGGCTATCAGATTGAAACTCTAATTTTCAGGGTTTAGCACCCTATTTAAACACCTTAACCTCCAAAGGCTAGCCTCATTTGCAGCATCCATCACTCGACGAGTAGGGCTATCAGATTGAAACCCTAATTTTCAGGGTTTAGCACCCTATTTAAACACCTTAACCTCCAAAGGCTAGCCTCGTTTGCAGCATCCATCGTCCCAAACCCTAGCCACAAAACCCTAATACGTTTATGAGAGTTTTGAGCCATTCTTGGTGCTTTCTTGAGGTTTTGAAGAAGAAGAGACTTGAAGAAGGGCAAGGAAATGAAGGAGAAGAGTAGATCCAGAAGTTGAGCTCCATTTTTGGTTCATTGGAGGTATAAAGCTCCTATCTTGTCTATTAAATGTTTAAATCTAGTTTTGGAGTGATTTCTCCATGTTTTGGTCCAACTATGCTAGCTTTTGAGACTTGGATGTCCCAAGTGATTACTCTTTCAAATTTGTGGTCTCGAAGGACTTTCATGACATAAAGGTGCAAACTATATGGCCATGGAAGTCCCATGCAAGCTTTAGGATGCCATTTTGGCCTTTTAAGCTCCAAAAGGCCATGCATGGAGGGAAAGTCAGGGACTTTACGTGTTCATATGGTGTCTAGGGACTAGATCTCAGTTGTTATGCTTTAGTGTGAAGTATTATGGCTTTTGGATCAAGATCTAAGTCTTAAAGAACTAGGGTTTGAGCTAAACGCATTAAGAAGGGTTACTAACGGGTAAAGTTGGAAACTTTACCCTTAAGAGGACATTTTTCAACATGTAGATGAAGTAGGGGACTTAGATTCTGAAGGATAAGAGCTTAATCTATTAAGATGGCTAAATAGATTGAAAAACTCGTCAAGTCAATAAAGGAACTCAACGAGTTGGGTCGAAGTGTCCCGAGTCATTAACTTATGGTTTTTATGATATGAGATAACATAATGATGTTTTCAATAATTTGTTTTATGAATTATTAAACTAAAAATGGAATTTTTGGTCTTGGATTTTGGGATGTTACACTTAGAGGACAAAGGTTTTGACCCAAAGGTTTTTAACTTTGAAGATAACATTATTACTTAGTGGTTTTTAACTTTAAAATTCATAGTTTAATACAAGGTCAAAAACAAATTTGAAATCATATTACCTCGAATTGGGTGAAACTCCAGTGGATTTACAGAATACTTGTTGTGATGGACAAAATTTCAGATCATGGGAGATAGAGAGCATGAGCATCGACGAAGACAATGGGAAATGCGTTGATTAGAGATGAAAAAGATAGATGGAGGTGGTCAGAGACATTGCTGATATGGATGAATTAGAGACAAAGAATATTTAGAGGGACATAGTTTTGGTAGATCCTCATCGCTCCCCGAAGTTGTAGAATTGTAAAAAGGAGGTTGTTGATGTTAGAGCATCGAAAAATAGAGAGAACTACAACATGTTACGTTTTATGGTGTTTTGGCTAGGTCAGAGTTCAGAAACAAAAAAGGTCTAGAAAGTCGGATATGGTGTTTCGACAATGATAGTTGTTGTTAGAGGGATATAACAGTAGTTGGCAACAATGGTTGCCGATCTGGTGGTTGTTTAGTGTCGTTCACGACATCAGTTCATCGGAGCAACTATAGAGAAGTGAAAATCACCAGAGATTATAGATCTTGACCTGAGCACTTCATATATGTAGTAGAAAATCGTAGATCTAAAGGCCAATATTGTAGATTTGAGCCGAAAATCACAGATCTGGAATTGACTAGAGCTTGTACATCTGAAGACATAATTCACCGATGGGAGGAGATGACGACGGTACACCGACGATGCAACAGAGAGGAAGTAACCATAGTTACAGATCTGAAATATGTCATCGACGGTGATGACAGTGGTGAGGTCGCTGCCGACGATGGCGAGATCGCCGTCGGCGGTAGTGTTTATGGTGGTGTTCACCAGAGATGGTTAAAGGAGAAGAGAGTTTTTTTTTGTTCTTGGCTATGATGAAAGAATGTTATTGATCAAACTCTTGATTAGAAGTAATAGAATTAGTTTTGCATAAAGACCATTATACATTTATTGTGTTTTTTATATATAAAAAACGTAAGAAAAATTAAAATATAAAAATAACCTTAATTATAGATTAAAAATATGTGGTTCTTAGGGTTCTTAACATTTAGTGGTTCTCATTTGATCTTTTACACACACACACACACATATATATATATATATATATATATATATATATATATATATATATTGTGACAACCATCAAGTTTTGGTCAAACAAAGTCAATAAAAGTAAACCAGGTCAAACAAAGTCAGTAAAAGTAAACAAATTATAATACAAAGTACCTCTTTGGTTGTCAAATATCGAATATAAACCTGAAATAAGGTTAGTATCGTAACAATTTGGTAATTCAATTTTATATTATTTTAGTATAAATAATATCCATAACTTAATGTAGTGGAATCCATAAACCTTATACTACGTGGCTAATTCATATTGAAGGTTATAAACGCAAATTTTTGGTGAATTCGCCACCAAAATGCGACAAATTCTATACCCGACTAAACACTTAATTTTTAACGGAAAGAATTTAAAAACCCAACCCAACTTTCATGTAACATATTATTATTTTTGATAATAATGGTTTTTATAATAATTTGAATTTTTATAATTCAAATTAAATATTTATACATTCTATATACCATATTTCTTTATAAAAATACCACTATTTTATAAAAAAATGCCAAGTTTTTTTTAAAGGTTTGACTTTTTTTATAAAAATTCACCACAATCTAAGATGTTCCCCCACCATAACTAACACCTTAAATTCAAAAGCATATCCCATAAAATATTACACCTTTGGTCCTATCCATGTCCCCCATACCCCTTACCTACCCCACCCCCTTCCCTTTCTCTCTTTTATTCATGGCCTAGAGGCCCTCTCTCATCACCATCTTCTTTATTTTTAACATTTTTTTCCAATAAAAGCTCTCATCTTCCATAGCTAATTTCTTCCAAGTTGGTTCTTGAGTTTTTGGTAAGTACTTCCTTCTTAATCTAGTGATTCTGTACACTTATAAACTAGTTTTAATCCATTTACACACATTATCATGTGTTACTATTCATAGGATCTTTAAATCTGTAAGTGTCCTTAACTTGAATCTTTCCATCTACAATCTTTTATCCACCAAGAAAACACACATAATGTGAGTTCATACCCCTTCATTTTTTATTTTTCCAAGTTTTAGGGGGGAATACAAGTAAACTTGTATAATAACACTAGTTGTTATGCATGCTTAGTCTTCAAGCAGTGTAAAAGTATTATTTACATGAAATAATATTATTACCTAGTATTATGAACATTTACGTGTGTGTAAAAGTATTATTTACATGAAATAATATTATTACCTAGTATTATGAACATTTACGTGTGGTATGTTGTTTCAAATGCAAAAATCTATGAATAATGAGTATAAACGTACTATATGTCATTAAGAAAAGTCACAAAAACAAAACCATAAAAACTATGTTTTTTTTAAATGTACGTAATATGACTTTTCTTGCACAAATGATTTTAACCAAGCTATTTCACTACTTTTGTGGGATACAAACCAAAATATATTATTTAGATCATGTGTTTTGAAACTAGTTAAAAATACAAAAGATTTGGTTTTACAAAAAGGAAAACTTTAAAAACCCATCATTTTTATGTAAAAGAAGGGTTTTCTAGCAAAAATGGTCATGACTAAGTTATAATATATATTTTTTTTGTGAGACTTGGCCTAGAATATGTTATTTTAAACATATAATGTTAGTTTGACTTAATACCCACAAAAAGGTATAAATAAAATTTACAAGGTTTACAACCTAAAGTTTTATCGGTTAGTGACGTTAAAAAGGAAAAAAAAAAAAAAAAAAAACTAGAAAATTTGGCTTTGTCATACCAAATGTTTTTATAATTGTGTTAGATATAAATTATATGATATAATTTTTTAAACATCTAAACATGCTAACTTATATATATATATATATATATATATATATATATATATATATATATATATATATATATATATATATATATATATATATATATATATATATATATATATATATATATGGACACAACAAAACATTTATAATAAACTATAATAGATATAGTTTATGGGTCATTGACACTATTTTATCGTTTTGGGATACAATGCACATAATTATTTTACACTCTGTATTTACAATGGAAAGACAATATTTCCACTTATAAAAGGGTTTTCATTACACTATATGTAAACCTGTTGATACAATTTTGTGAGATATAGTCTTCACCGTACCTACCAGAGTACACACTAAAGTCCTGAATTACAACCAAAATCTCAGTAAGATACTTACTACTACTACTACTACCACTTACTAACCTAAGTACATCCCTGACAATGTTGGTCAAGACATTGGAAATCATACAACAACAATAACACGACATACTTATGGCATACGACTAGTAACAATTTTAGTTTCTTGCAAATTGTTTCAAACCTTAATACTTGGAACATAGTCATGCCACCCATGCAAAATGCAAGACTTCGTTCAGGACCAACCCCAATACCAACACCACCCAACAGGAACTCGAATACCAACATTAATGGACGCGACTGCAATCGAAGAAATAATCGCACGAAGGGTGGTGACTGTCGTAGCAAACTTTAATACCGAAAAGCATGAAGGATCAAGACACAATAACCACAAGTCTCACAGTAACAACCAAAGAGTGAGATGCAAGACTTAGAACAAGAACTCTGGAATCTCACTAGGAAGAATTCTGAGATATCCAACTTACATCAATCGCTTCAATGATTTGGCTGTCTTATGCACAGGAATGGTTACTCCCGAGTACAAAAGGATAGAGAGATACATATGGGGTTTTACCCCCACAAATCCAAGGGATGGTCATTTCTTCTTGACCAACCACCCTTGACAGCGCAAAGTGTATCGCTCATCAGTTGACTGACCAAGGCATCCGCCAAGAAAACCATGGTTAAGAAAGCCGACCATCCCAAAGGAGAGGAACAAAAAGAGGGAATTCTGGAATAAAAAGAAAGAAAACCCCAAATAAGCCCCCCCACCCACCCAGAAGAAGCAGGGGAACGGTGACAGTCGTCGCCACTACCACCCCTGAAGCCATCAACCAGCCAAAACAATACGCCAAAAATATCCCAAAAGGTGACAAGTGCCCTTGTCATCACTTTGGCGCATGTAGGGAGATGTACTGCTTCAACTGTAAACAAAAGGGGGCATACTTCCAAAATTTATAAGACCCCAACCCAAGATGACAATCAGACATCCAACTCAGGGGTGACCCATGCCTGTTATAGATGTAGCAAAATTGGACATTACAAGAGGGATTGTCCTAAGGCTAAGTGTTCAAGTGAAGGTGATCAAGGTAGAGTCTTAGTCATTGGAGCGAAAGTAGCAATACATGAACCTGTTGTTGTAAATGGTATGTTTCTCGTCAATAACTCTTATGTCTGTACACTTATGTTAATGGTGCCGAAAGAAACTCCGTTAGTCATAAGTTCAAAAAACTACTAAACCAGAACCCAAAAACACAGCAAGGGTCTCCGAATCATCTCGCGCATCCAGGAACACGAGCACTTGCACAAAGAGTATTATGCATTTCTAGCACACATAGTGGACCAGAAGAAAGAGGTGAAGGAAATCTTGGACATACTAAAAGTTCGTGATTTTCCTGATGTGTTTTCAGAAGACCTCCCGGGGGATACCATGTGTATGACAAGTTGAGTTCAGAATCGACATAATCGTAGAAGAAACCCTCGTAGCAAAGTCTCCGTACAGACTGGCCCCGATGGAGATGCAAGAATTGTCTAGTCAACTACACGAATTATTACACAAGGGATTTATTAAACAAAGCTTCTCACCCTGGGGAGCGCCAATCTTATACGTGAAGAAGAAAGATGGATACTTTAGGATGTGTACTGGTTATTAGGAATTGAACAAGCTGACCGTCAAGAACTGTTACCCACTTCCCATGATCGATGATCTGTTCGACCAATTACAAGGATCCAATTACTTCTCAAAGATACCATCAACATAGAGTCCAGGAAGAAAGATTTCTCTATAACGGCTTTCAGAACACGATATGGCCACTATAGGTTTGTAAGTTATGCCATTCGGATTGACCAATGCTCCTACAGTATTCATAGGCCTCATGAATCGCATATGCAGACCACACCTAGACCAATTCGTGATCATATTCATTGATAATATATTAAAGTACTCATGAAGTAAGGAGGAGCATATGCAACACTTACGATTAAAACTAGAATTACTACGCAAAGAGAAACTTTACGCAAAGTTCTCGAAGTGCAAGTTCTAGTTACGAAAGGTAGACTTCCTAGGACATGTAGTCAACAAAGAAGGAAGTACTGCGGGGAATGGATAAGAACTTTAAAATCAAAGATGACAGAATACAATATTTCATGAATCGAATTTGGACACCAAAGTCTGGCGATCTTAGGGATTTGATCATGAACAAGGCACACAAGAAAAAAAATACTACATTCACCCTGGGGTAGAGAAGATGTAATAGGACTTGAATGGGGTGTATTGGCGGCCAAACATGAAAGAAGAGATTGCCACTTACGTAGGTAAGTACCTAACCTATGCTAAGGTCAACGTAGAATAGCAGAAGCCCTCTGGTCTGTTACAACAACCAGAAACACCTGAATGGAAGTGGAAGTAGATTAACACAGACTTCATGACAAAGTTTCCCACGACTACGGATGGACATGATACCATTTGGGTGATCGTAGACAAACTAACAATATCCGCACACTTCCTACTAAACAAAGCGACATATCAGATGGAAAAGCTGACAAGAATGTATCTCAAGGAGATTGTGAGACCGCACAATGTGTCACTGTTCATTATCTCGGATAGGGATAGTCCATTTGCCTTGCGTTTTTGACAGTCGTTACAAAAG